GGCCCCGAGCTCCGCCTGCGTCAGGCCCCACAGCGAGTCGCTCGTCCCCTTCTCCTGGCGGTACAGCTTGAAGAACTGGCCGAGGAACTGCAGGTTCTCGTGGTCCATCGTCACGTTGTCGTCGTAGACGCCCGTCTTGGTGGGGCCTTCGTTGCTGTCCGAAGGCCCCAGGATCAGCGACCACTTCAGCCCAGTCCGCCCAGTCCAGGAGGGCCGTCTCCAGCGAGTCCAGGGTGCTGACGTCCAAGCCCTGGCGGCGGGCGTACTCGTAGAACTCCTCGATCCGCCTGTGGTAGTCCTCGACCTGGACGGGCCTCACAGCGATGCCTGAGGCGACTGCCCGTCTTCCAGTGGCACAGCTTCGCGCACTCGAAGGTCGGGAAGATCCAGATGCATCGCTGACCCCGCCTCGACCCGCTGCGTCACGTTGCGTGTCGCGATGCCTGTCGCCACTCTGCGCCTCGTCGCATGCACCCTCGACGCCGCGCCCGTCATCAGGATGGGGGGGCCCAGGAGGAGGACGCCATGCATGGCCCAGAGCAGCAGCTGCAGGTTCCCAAAGCCGCGAAGGTTGATCAGCAGGATTAACCTCGGACGGGACCCAGCGGCACCGTGCCCGCAGCCCAGTGGCGAGCTGCAGCGCGGTCATCTGACGAAGCTGGCCCACGAGGGCTGGATCGCGACAGCGGCCATTCTGCATGGCCAGCGTGAGGGACATATTGTCCACCAGCATGAGCGCCTTGCTGTGCCGCCAGCGCCCGCAACGAACCACGTGCTTGAACCCGAGCTTGGCGCCCCTCGCCTCCTTCTTGATCCTCCAGCGCTCGTCGTAGCTGCCCGTGATTCGTAAATCTGGAGAGCCCCACTCAGCAGCACAGGCGCCAAGCCCAGTATCGCAGGCATCCGTCGCCACCACCTGGTCGAGCCAGCCCGCCCCGATGTCGGCGTAGACCAGCGGCAGGAGGGCAGCGGCGATGAGGAGCTCCCTCTTGACGCTCCGCCAGAGGTTCTTTGGCCCCCCTCCTGCAGCCTCGGCAAAGGCAAAGGAGGCCGCGATGCAGGACAGACAAGGGCGCCGAAGCAAGCAAGCGAAGCAGAGGTGCCCAAGTGTGGCTCGCATCTCCCTCCCAGTGCAGCGCCCGCGTCGTGCACCAGCATGCAGCCCCGAGTACAGTTGCCACGCTCTGACGGGGGATAGTCTGACCACCTTCTTGCCCCCCATCGAGGTGCACTCCCACGATGTCCAAAGAAGTGCTGACCTGCTCGATCTCATGCACGTGAAAACCTGCGTGCCGAATGCCTTCGAGAGCCTGACGATGCGTGGCCTCAACCTCGGCCTTGTCACAGCCGAAGACCCCGAAGTTGTCGACGCATGTCAGCTGAACAGGCCCCCCCTCAAGCGAAGGAGGAGGTATGCCGTCAGGAAGAAGGCGAGCTGGAGGAAGACCAGCCCGCCGCAGGAGCTCCTCATGGACGAGTTGGGCCGCCCTCACTGCCCACGAAAAGCCCATCGGTAGTGACTGCAGAGCCGGGTAGAAGAGCTCGCTGGGACCAACCTTGATACCATTGATGCTCTCCACCCCCACAGCCGCGGCACGGACTGCTGGTAGAGCAAGGTACTGAGGGAGTTCCTCATCGATCCTGAGCTCGTGGAGGTAGTCCTTAATATCAAGGCTGGCCAGAAAGATGGTCTGGTCAGATGCGCACTGAAGACGGCTGAGCGAGTTGCCAGTAGCAAGATGTATTGAGTCTGGGATGTCAAATCGTATGTTGGTCCCTCGTGCATCGCATATAAGTCGTAAGTCACCACTCTTTTTGTGAACAAAGAACAATCCCACCCTTTCTTCGTAGGTTCGAGTCCAGCGCACCAGTCCCCTGTCACGCAGATCCCGACAAAAACCCTCCCACTTCGCAGGATGTGCCTCCAGCACTGGGTCAAAGTAAGGATTGGGCAGTCCCTCGCTCTTGATACGCAATGCACACTCCTCGTCACTGAGAAGGATGGTGTCGCGAAACCGCTTAAACTTGTGCGACGCGTCCGAGGGCAGAACGTTGTAGATGTCCACCCCGTGCAGGTCGCGACTCGGCGGAGACACTGAAGCCGAGCCAAACGGTGCAATGTTCCCGGCACGCTCGCTGTCACCATAGCGGGCGTCTGTGCGCAGAAGCGCCGCGAGGGCTTCTTGCGGGGCGGGCCTCTCCTTAGGCAAGGGCACAGCTTCAACCGCTTCACGAGCCAGGGCAGCAGCAGCACGCGCCTGCTCACCACCAGGACCGCTGGGCGACTTGTCACCGAAGCCCCCTAGCTCGTTGAGACCCCAAAAAATTCTCGTCGGCGCGCCTGTCGATCCAAGCACGGCGGCAAATACGTTGTTGAACGCCACGACTGAGTGAGCTACGAGGGCCTTCCCAATCATGAAGTCGAGGCAGGGGTAGAAGGTCACGCTGTCGACCGTCCGCCATGCCTTGGTCAAAAACTCGTCGCAGCCCTCGCAGAAGACAGCAACTCGGCGGCGGCCCAAGTCGGGCCACGAAAATCGAAATACCGCGGGGCGGCTAGCCCTTCTTCGCAAGGGCCGCCTCCTCGCGGGCCTTGCGTCGTTCTTTCTGGATCGCAGCCTCGCCTTGGAGCTGCAACGCCACGTGCGAGGTGAGTAGCGGCGCCACGGCCGCGACTTTCCTGCCAAGGCCCTGGAAGTGCTCGCTCCCCTCGAACCGCGGCGCCTTCGGGTTGGACGTGTACGCCTCCTCCAGCAGCTGAATCCTCCTCGACAGGATCTCGAAAAAGGCGAGGGCAGACACGTCCAGCTGGTCATATGTGAGCGCTGTCTCAAGAATCTCCATGAGACTGCCATGCTCGTGCTTGACTCTGTCGTTGTCCGGCACATGTGCGTCTCGCATCCACTTCTCGGTCCTGGTGCGGGGCACGCTCCCCTGGTCTCTGATGAACTTGCACAGCCAGAGAGTCGTTCTTGGGCCAACCACCGGGAAGTCGTCGAACCGTGGCTCCTCCAGCAGCCCGACGGCATTAGTGTAGGCCCTGAACCTCTGGCCCGTCTGGTCGCACAGCACGGGCGGCACTCGAGCGTCAGCCGACTTGAGCGGCACTGCAGCCGCCGGCCCGTCTCCATTCGCTTGAGGTCCGAGGCCAGCTCCTGGCAGACCGGGCCCAGAAGCTCGGTCCACCGCCTGCTCGAGCTCGCCCTTCCTCGAGACCAGCACATTCTTCTTGTTGCCGACCGCGATGCTCTCCAGCACGAGGGTGGCCGCCCCAAGCTTGACCAGCGCGAACTTGCCCATGGCACTGGCCGTGGCGTCCACGCTCGCCACCACGATCCACTGCATGCCAGGGGCGGGACCGCCTTCGGGCGCCACCACTGCCCCCATGGCTGCCCCAGCCCCTGGGATGGCGGCGCCCCCACCCACGGCGGCGAGCGGTGCAGCAGGCGGGGCGGCCAGGCCGTCGGCCGCGGGGGCCGCGCCCACGTCTGCCACCAGAGCCCCGACCCCGGCGCCGGCTCCAGCGGGCGGCGGCCCAGCCGGCAGGCCCGCCCCGGCGGTCCAGCCATGTTGACCCACCCGATCACGCACAGCACCAGACTCAGCATCAGCAGCGTCGTCGTCGATGCCCAGCCCCGCCCTCTCCATCTGTGCGGTCGCGATCCCGTCGTCGAAGATCTGACGCCACTCCGCCGCCGTGTACAGCTGGCCAAGCGGCGGGAACCTGTACAGCAGAGCGTTGGCGGGGATCGCCGGTGGCACAGACCCTTGCAGGCAAGGCGTGCCTCCGAGGGCCCGGATGTCCTCTGGATAGACATCGCCATCAGGAGTGACGATGACCCACGTCGTTCCCCGCACCTTGCAGAGCAGGAGGCGCTCGTGCCAGTACGCCTCCCCGCCCCCGTACCACACCAGAATCAAGCGACCTGGGGCGATCGGCCTCGAATCGGCCACGCACCGCCCGGCGAAGCCCCGAGCCGAACAAGGCCCCCGCGCAGCAGCCCGTCGCCAGCCCGAAGAGGCCCGCGACCACCACCGCGACGATCCACCACCTGCTGAGGTCGGGCGCCGCCCTCGGGCAGCTGACCTCCGGACAGCTCGGGCAGGCCGCGCCCCCGAGCGTGCAGGGCGGGCACTGCAGGGCAGGGCACGCCAGGCTGGGAGTGCAGGTGCAGTCGGGGCACACCTGCGCGGTCTGCCCAGCCCACACCAGGCTCGCGGTGCCCGCCGTACGCAGCGTCTCCCGCGCAGCCTCCAGCACAGCGTCCGCGAGTCACTTTGGCATGCACGGGCTGGCGTGGCGGCGGCGGGCGGCGCGCGCGAACCTCCTGAACAACAGAAGGCTATGAGCACGGGACGGGCGAGGCACGCGACGCTCTTGCTACCTTCCCCCTACTCGTGTCACTGTACGGCCCCCGTGTCGTCATTACTGTGCACGCACTCACATCATCATCATCATCATCATCATCATCATCATCATCATCATCATCATCATCATCATCATCATCATCATCATCATCAGCATCATCATCGTCGTTGTCGTCATCAGCATCATCGTCATCAGCATCATCGTCATCAGCATCATCGTCATCATCATTGCTTCATCCTCCCCTTCTCCTCCTCCTCCTCTTCTTCCTCCTCCTCCTCCTCCTCGGTCATCCTGCTTCTCCTTTTCCTTCTCCTTCTCCTCCTCTTCCTCCTCCCCCCACCTCCTCCTTCTCCGCCCTCGTCCTCCTTCTCCGCCTCCTCCTCCTTCCTACTTGAAGCGGGTCCTGGCCCCCAGGAGCTTCCTCCAAGGCCAACTTTTCACCCCGCGATGTTTTGTTGACTGTCCTCGGGCCCGCGACGGGCCCTGGGAGGCCAAAAACTGCCTAGAACCTAGTTCCCTTCAGGACCCCTCGGAGGCCGCGCCGGAACGTCCTCCTCGCTCTCGGCCTCGAGCCGCCGCACCAGCTCGTGCACCTCGCGCTCCGCGGCGAAGAGTCTGTCCTCCTGCAGCCTCATCCTGCTGGCCGCTTCGAGAACGGCCTTCGCCTCTGCGGGAAGCTCGCAGAGCACCTCGTCGTCGGCGAGCTCCTGCAGACGCAAAACCCGCCCGAAACATTGATTTGTTCAATCCCGGCGTTTTCATCAAAGGTGGCCCAAAAACTGTTCCCAGGAAAAGGGTCCAACCATCTGGGGCCGCGGATTGAAAAACATGTCGTCGGATGTCTGGGCAAATAGCGGGGCAGAGAGGGAGGAGCCGACCGTCCTGGTCTGCCTACTCTGGATTGAACAATGATCCCCCCCCCTTGAATCCGCTGGGGGGTTGGGCATGTGCCGTCGGCACGGGTGGAGGGGGGGTCGGAGGAAGAGGATGAGGATGAGGAGGGGGAGGAGGACGGAGGGGGCGAGATTGGGCAAGCTCAGTCGGGAGGTTAGTCCCCCCCTTGATAAGAACAAAAACCATCCAGAATAGGCATAGATTGCTTCGCCTGCCACAAGCACCTCTCGACTTCCACTCCCAAGGGGCCGAGCTACAGTCGGGAATTTTCGCTTAGCGTGTCGTGGCGGCGGCCTCGGCGACACGCTGTGCCCAGCGAGCGGACAGCGTGTCACTCCGCTCCGCGGGGCAAGCGGCGGGGGAGAGCTCTGGACTTGGACGCTTGACCATGGGGACGTGGATAGTGTGTCGCGCCGAAGCGTGGCAGGCTAGAACCAGCGGGGCAACAAGGTAGCACAAACTCCTGACCGTACATCTGGTGACGCGAGCGCACCCGAGGACAGGCACGTAAGCTTCTGATATGGTATTCACCCACGTCCATACAGGGTCCACTCGCCCACCCGACAAGCAAGGGAGGTGGAGGAGGAGGTGGAGAAGACACAAGGGCGGAACGGAGAAGACGACTGCCAAAGGGGAGGATAAGGACGACGAGAGAAACGAATATGACAAAGATCACACATAACAACAAGGCGCACGATGATAATGAAGAGTCTCCTTCTCGTCCGCTTCCTTTCTCCTTCTCCTCCTCCTCATCCCTCTACCCACGTCCATTCCTCCCCAGACCTACGTAGCCCCTCCTGGTCGCACAAGCAGACGTGCTGGCAGGGCGGTCCGAACGTTTCGCTTGGCACGCTCTGGCCGCGCATGATCCGAAAACTTGAGGCCTCCCACAATTAGGCTACATGAGGAGTGGTCCTCAACATCTGAGTCTCGGCTTGACACCGTGCGCTTGCGCCTTCAACAATACTAAAAGTGGCGCGGCATGAATTAGCACCTCGCAGAAGTTGTCGTCGCCTGAGGCTTCCTCGAATTTACTGTTCTGGGAGCTCCAATTATCCAACAGCTAGATGGACGGGGGTCGAATTATTTTCAACATGCGGCCCCCTCCTAGGACTTTCCACTAGTTTGTGCGCTGCGCTTGGCTGTTTTAGCTTCGGAGTGGATTATGCAAGTTAGGGAGAGATGCGGGGATGGTGGGGCGCTGAAAGTGCCAACCGCCATGACCCTCGAACAGAAGCACAGTGTGTGTTGCACTGAAGGTTTATTGCGTTGCAAGAGTTGTGCGTTGCACATGTTTGTGCGCTGCGTTTGGCTGCTTCAGATTGAGCTTTGGACTCCACGTAATTGCTGGCAACAGCCACGAAGAGCAGATCGAGAAATCCGCTGCCCCTCAGGAGGGCTATCCCGGTCGCAAGAATCACGGACAAACGAGCCCAACGAGACAAGTGCCCCGTCAGCCAGAGAACATCGCAGCGCGATGGTAAGACCACAGTGGCAATCTAACCAGTCGCAGCTGGGACCAGGCGATGCGACCTAAAAACTTCTACCACGGTTTCGAGGAGGAGCGACAAAAAGAGGCAGAGGGAAAAGAAAAAGACGGAACAGGGCATGATAAACGCAACACGAACAACCCATGATACACCGTCGGGGCTTTGCCCTCGGCATTCGCACAATTTGCCCTCACGGAGTTAATTGAAAAAGGAGGGCGGAAGAGGACAGAGGCGAGGGTGAGGAGGCAAGGGAATGGGACGAAACATCACGTATTACCTGTACAGTACAGCGCCTCCTGCCGAAACAAAGGAACCAAGCCAGAAGCGGCTAGCATCACCGCTACATATTGCTAGCAAGTAGATCAACGAAACACTAAACGCGCGCACGAGCGCTCACGAGCGCTCCCAAGCGCGGGCGCACGCGCTCTCACGCGCCTCCTGGCCTTCCCAGGCGTTCGCATGCGCTCCCCGGCGCTTCCCCCCCAGCGCTCGCAAGCGGTCGCCAGCGCGCGCAAGCGCTGCCAGGCGCTCGCGTGCGCTCTCAGGCGCCCCCTGGGGCACCCGCAAGCCCGCGCAAGCCAGCGCGGGCGCTCCCAGGCGCTGGAGCTTGCAAACTTACGTGAAAAAAACGGGTGCTGGGAACAGCCAACAGAATGGCAGCGGGTTCTCCGGCCAAAATCAATTCAAAATGCCGGCGGCGGGGGAGGGGGAAGCCCATTCAGTACGGGCACCGAAGAAACCAGGATGCTATGCAAACAAGAAAGCGGACGAGGAGAAAGTAGACGACTATTCGGACCTAGGCCACCGAGAACCAGCAACGGGAGAAGCAGGAGCGGAAACATCGTGACCGACAACACGAATAGGATGCGAAAACACAGACTTCGAAGAGGGACGGTGTAACACTGACGTAAGGATCGACATCAATAATCATATCTGTTCTTCCGCTCCATACAGTAAAGGAAGGCTTCCGGGCATAATTCCCCAAACAGCTTGCTGAACGGGTGCTGTTGTGATAGAAACTAACTCCGGCCGAGGGAAGGCGGAGCAGAGACATCCTCACAAAAATTGTATGGTTTTGGCCGTTTCGCTTGAGACATCCTCACAACTCTCGTTTCTGAGTTGGCCGGGATTGGCCATTTCGCCTGAGACATCCTCGAACAGTTGCGCTCCGGGACGCCGCGCGAGAGGTGGTCCGGGCCGTTTCGCTTGAGACATCCTCGAAACTCTGAGCCCCGAAGTGCCGTGCGAGAGGTGGTCCGGGCCGTTTCGCCTGAGACATCCTCGAAACTCTGACTTCGGAGATACCGCGCGAGAGGTGGTCCGGCCCGTTTCGCCCGAGACATCCTCGAACTTCTGAGCTCTGAGATGCCCTGCGCGAGGTGGTCCGGCCTATCTCGCCTGAGGCATCCTTGCAACTCTGAGCTCTGAGATGCCGTGCGCAAGGTGGTCCGGCCTGTTTCGCACAAGACATTCTCGCAACTCTGAGCTCTCAGATGCTGCGCAAGAGGTGGTCCAGCCTGGGGGCCCAGAAGACCACATGTTACATATCCTCAATGGGACCCTGCGAGTCTCAGGAGGCCCCAGACAGGTCCAGGAGGCCGCAGGACGCCCAGGACAGGCCCCAGGGGCCCCCAGGAGATTCCCAGGAGGCTCCCAGGAGGCCCCAGGAGGCCGCCTATCAGAACGTGTCAAGTTAATACACATCCGGTGTCGATTCGTTGATTTTTCCTGCTCTTGTGCCCCCCTTCCATTTTGAGGGGCCCAAGCGGCCACAGGTTAGATATCCCCCCTGGGAGCCCCAAGAGGCTTCAGGAAACCTCAGGTGGAGTTCAGGAGGCCACAGGAGGCCCAGGAGGAAGCTCCAGGAGGTCCCCAAGAGGCCCCAGGAGGCACCAGGAGGCCGCAGGACGCCCAGGACAGGCTCCAGGGGTCTCCAGGAGATTCCCAGGAGGCTCCCAGGAGGCCCCAGGAGGCCGCCTATCAGAACGTGTCAAGTTAATACACATCCGGTGTCGATTCGTTGATTTTTCCTGCTCTTGTTCAGGAAGCCCCAGGTGGGGTCCAGGAGGCCACAGGAGGCCCAGGAGGAAGCTCCAGGAGGTCCCCAGGTCCCAGGAGGCACCAGGAGGCCCCCGCAACTCGGAGCTCTGAGACGCCGCGCTCGAGGTGGTCTGGCCCGTTTCGCCTGAGACTTCCTCGTAGCACGTTTCGCCCGAGACATCGTCGCAACTCTGGGGTCCGAAATGCCGCGCGCGAGGTGGTCCAGCCCGTTACGCTGGAGACATCCTCGCAACTCTGGGCTCCGAGATGCCGTTCGGGATGAAGAGGAGGAGGAGGAGGAGGAGGAGGAGGAGGAGGAGGAGGAGGAGGAGGAGGAGGAGATGGAAGGGAGAAGGAGGAGGCGGATGATGTGCATGAGGGAGCAGGCAGGAGGAGGGGGAGGCCCCAGAGAGCTCCAGGAGGCCGCAGGACGCCCAGGACAGGCCCCAGGGGTCCCCAGGAGATTCCTAGGAGGCTCCCAGGAGGCCCCAGGAGGCCGCCTATCAGAACGTGTCAAGTTAATACACATCCGGTGTCGATTCGTTGATTCTTCCTGCTCTTGTGCCCCCCCCTCCATTTGGAGAGGCCCAAACGGCCACAGGTTAGATATCCCCCCTGGGAGCCCCAAGAGGCTTCAGGAAACCCCAGGTGGAGTTCAGGAGGCCACAGGAGGCCCAGGAGGAAGCCCCAGGAGGTCCCCAGGAGGCCCCAGGAGGCACCAGGAGGCCCCCGCAACTCGGAGCTCTGAGACGCCGCGCTCGAGGTGGTCCGGCCCGTTTCGCCTGAGACTTCCTCGCAGCACGTTTGCCCGAGACATCGTCGCAACTCTGGGGTCCGAGATGCCGCGCGCGAGGTGGTCCAGCCCGTTACGCTGGAGACATCCTCGCAACTCTAGGCTCCGAGATGCCGTTCGGGATGAAGAGGAGGAGGTCGAGGAGGAGGAGGAGGAGGAGAAGGAGAGGAGAGGGGGAGGAGGAGGAGGCGGATGATGTGCATGAGGGAGCAGGCAGGAGGAGGGGGAGGAGGAGGAGGAGGAGGAGGAGGAGGAGGAGGAGGAGGAGGAGGGAGAAGGAAGGGAGTTGCAGGAGAGGACCTAACGGGAAGCGAGTGCGATGTGGACTTGTCAAAACGTGTGCGAAAGATTGTCCGGCCCGTTTCGTTTGAGACATCCTTCCAATACTGAGCTCCAAGATGTCGCTCGCGAGGTGGTCCGGCCCGTTTCGATTGAGCCATCCTCGAAATGCGAGGCTCGAAGATGTTGCGCGCGAGATGGTCTGGCCCGT